AAACAAAATAGAAAACAGAAAAACAACAGAAAAAGAAACAATGAAACAGTTGGATTTTTGAAAAGGTAAAAACATTAACAAACCTATAGCTAGACTAACTAAGAAAAAATGAGGTGGCTCAAATAAAATAAGTAATGAAAGAGAAGACATTACAATGAAAGCCACAGAAATAAAAAGGATCATAATATTCTACTATGAACAATTACATATAATGAACCAGTTAACCTAAAAGAAATGGATAAATTCCTGGAATCATACAACCTACTAAGACTTAATCATGAAGAAATAGAAAATCTGAATAGAGTTTGAATCGTTAATAAAAAACCTCCCAAGATGGAAAAGCCCAAGATCCAATGACTTCTTTGGCGAGTTCTACAAACATTTGAAGACTTAAAGCCAATTCATCTCAAACTCTTCCAAAAGATCAAAGAGAAAGGAATACTTATTACTATAGTTTTATGAAGTCAGTGTTACCCCAATACCAAAGCCAGACAAAGATACTATGAGGTAAGAAAAGTACAGTCCAATATCTCTGATTAGTATCCATGCAAAAATCCTCAAAAAAATACTAGCAAACTGAATTCAACAAAATATTAAAAGGACCATTCACCATAATCAAGTGGGACTCAAGGATGAATGGTTCAACATATACAAATCAATTAATATAATACATCACATAAAGAGAATGAAGAATAAAAGCCATATGATCACACAATGAGGAAAAGTCTGTCTTTTCAATAAATGGTATTGGAAAAACTGGAAATTCACATGCAGAAGGATGAAAAGCGACCCTTATCTCACCCTCTATACAAGAAGCAACTCAAATGGATTAAAGAATTAAACGTAAGACCTGAAATTAAACTACTAGGAGAAAACATAAGGGAAAAGCTCCACATTGGTCTAGATAGTGATTTTTTGGATAAAACCCTGAAGTACAGACAATACAAGCAAAAATAGACAATTGGGATTTTATCAAACTATTAAGTTTCTGCACAGCAGAAGAAACAATAGAGTGAAGAGACAACCCACAGATTGGGAGAAGATATCTGCAGATCATACATCAGATAAAGGGCTAATATCCAAAATATACAAGGAACTCAAACTATTCAATAACAGGAAAACAACCCTATTTTAAAAGAGGCAAAGACCTGAATAGTAATTTCTCAAATGAAGACATACAAATGGCCAACAGATACATGAAAAAATACTTAAGAACTCAAATTATCAGAGAAATGCAAATTAAAACCACAGTGAGAGATCACTTCACACCTGTTTGATTGGCTATGAGTATCATTAGAAAGACAAAAGATAAGTATTGGCAAGGATGTGAGGAAAAGAGAATCCTTGTACACTGTTGGTGGAAATGTAAATTAGTACAGCCATTTTGGAAAACAGTATGGAGGTTCCTCAAAAAACTAAAAATAGAATTACCTAGTGATCCAGCAATTTCACTTCTAGGGCATATACCCAAAGGAACTGAAATCAGTATGTTGAAGAGATGCCTGCACTCTCATGTTTATTGCAGCACACATTAGCCAAGATATGAAACAACAAAAGTGCCCACAACAGATGAATGGATTTAAAAAGTGTGCTATACAGCTGGGCACGGTGGCTCATGCCTGTAGTTCCATTACTCTAGGAGACTGAGGTGGGTGGATCACTTGAGGTCAGGAGTTAGAGACTGGCCTAGCCAACATGATAAAAGCCCATCTCTACTAAAAATACAAAAATTAGCCAGGCGAGGTGCCATGTGCCTGTAGTCCCAGCTACTAGGGAGGCTGAGGCAGGAGGATCACCTGAGCCTGGAAGGCAGAGATTACAGTGAGCTGAAATCATACCACTGCACTACAGCCTGGGTGACAAGAGCAAAATTTCGTCTCAAAGAAAAAAAAGAGTGCTATAAATACATAATGAAATACTATTGGGCCTTAAGAAACAGGAAATCCTGTCATTTGCATTTGGAACAACATGGATGAACCTCGAAGACATTATGCTAAGTGAAATAAGCCAGGCACAGAGGGACAAATATTGCATAATCTGACTTATATGTGGAATCTAAAAAGGCTGAATACATAGAAGTAGAGAGTAAAATGCTGGTAACTAGAGCCTGGTAGGAGTAGGGGAGTAGGCAGGGAAAAGGGAAATGTGGGTGAATGAGTACAAAATTTCAGCTAGGTAGGAGGAATAAGTTCTGGTGATCTATTGGTGATGATAATTATAATTAATAGTGTATATTTCAATAAATAAATATTATTGGTCAATTAAAAATAAAAAAATTTAAAAATGTATCTTCTCAAAAGTCTTATTTTCGAGTAGCATTATAGCATACTGGTTAAGTACACAGGACCCCAAGTCCAGACTACCATTGTTGGATTACCAAATGTGTAAATACAAATCAGCTATTTAACTTCCCTGTGCCTCAGTTTCCCCTCAGCAAATGATGAGACCAATAGTATCTCATAAAATTGTTCTAAATGTAAAATGAGGATGCTGGCATAGTTTGTATATTTCTAAATTATGTCATGTTGAAATGTGACCCACATTGTTAAAGGCGAGGCCTAGTGGGAGATGTTTGGGTCATAGGGTTGGGTTCCTCATGAACGGCTTGGTGCCACCCCCTTGGTGATGAGTGAGTTCTTGATCTGTGAGTTCACACAAGAACCGGTTGTTTAAAAGAGCCTGGCATCTCCCTTGCTCCTCTTCTCACCATGTGACACACCTTCTCCCCGTTCACCTTCCTCTACGATTGGAAGCTTCCTTCGGCCCGCATCAGAAGCAGATGCTGGTGCCATGCTTCTTGTACAGCCTGCAGAACCATGAGTCAAATAGACCTCTTTTTAAAATAAATTACCCAGCCTCAGACATTCCTTTATAGCAACAAAAAATGGACTAATATACATGTGAATCATTTAGAGGAGTATTAAGCACACAGTAAGCACTCAATAAAGGTTAGCTATTCCTCCTGTTACTCTTTGCTCTCCTAACAAATCACTCAAACTTAATAGCATAAAGCAGTAATCATTCAGTTATGCCTCCAGGTCTATGGATCAGGGACTTGCAAAGAGAATAATAGGGAAGGCTGATCTCTGCTCCACAATGTCTGAAGGCTTAGCTGGGAAAGCCTAGTCTTAGAGCCTAGGAGTGACTCTACAGCTATGTGCTGGGATCCTTTGAGGGTTTATTTCACAGTTCTGAGGGTTGAAGATGGTTGTTGACCAGGAACTCCACAGAGGCTATTGACCCAAATACCTATACGGAGCCTTTCCATATGGCTTCATGGCTTTCTCCCAGCACGGGAGAAAGTTGCCACAAGTCAGTGTCCCAAAAGTCAGGAATCAGAGGCTGTGAGTTTCCTAAGGCCTGCACCCAGAATTTGGCCCAGGGTCACTTTCTCTGTATTCTTCTGGTCAAAGGAGTCTCAAAGCCCTCCCAAGTTCAAAGGGAAGGGACACAGACCTCACTACCTAATGGACGAAATGTCAATGTCATGCTGTACAAGAGCATGTGGGTTGGGTGTATTGTTATGGCCATCTCTGGAAAATACAATCTGTCATAGCTACTACTGTTAATATGATGCCCTACTAGTCATGAAAAACATTTTAACTCTAAGGGATGCCCTCTCCAGTGCCTAAAAATTGAGGTAAAATATAGGAGGAGAAGGCAAGAGAGGAGAGGCATTAGCCATTTATATATCATCACAAATTAGACATTATTCAGTCAAATGCTCTAGTTTAACAAGTGACAAAATGAGGTTAAGAGAAGTGAAGTGAGTTGCCCAAAATCATCCTGCTGGCAGAAGCACTGGGATATTTTGTTTCTAATACACCACAATACCTGGAAGAACAACAAAATGTAGATCGAAGGGGAATAAACAGGGAGATGATGAAGAGAGAAAAGGTGAACTAGAGAAGGAAATGGGCAGGAAGACAGAGAAAGAATTGCCAACAACTGCCTCTGAGACTCCAGTAGTCTTTGGATGCGTTCCCATACTTGATTTTAAACTGCAGAGCTGCTGGGAAACCTTAAGCCCTTGAATAATGTTGGCAAAACCCCTTGGATCTTTTGGATGATTTCTGCCCCTCCCTAACCACGAGGATAAACTCTGGGCTGGAGAGTAAAAGGTGGCTGGAAATCTACCAAGACCTAACTACAGCAGATATCTCTTTCTCCCTGTTATCTTGTTTACCTGGTTGCTTGGGACCAAACTTCCACCTCTCATGTCATTTAAACTCTCCTCTAAATTCAGTCCCCACTTCACCCTCCTCCAAGTGGATTTCTTCCCATGCCTCTCAGTGTGGCTCTGGTCATGCAGTATGACATTGCTTTGAGGTCCTGTTTAATCTGGTGTTTGGTCTCAGATTAGAACTCTAGAAACAGAGAGCTCATTTTGAAGTTTGGTGTTTTTCAAAGACCCTGCGTGTGGTGGAAACAACATCCACTGGAATCTCAAGGCTGGAGGACCCTTCACCAGCCTGGCACCCTGCCTTCATGTAGTTCTGCCCAACCACAGAGAACAGCACTACTCTAAAGGCAACCTCCGGAAGTTCACTTTTCTTTTACAGTTAATGTGAAACCCCTAACCTTCCTATTGGGAAGGGCTTCTTTGTATCTAGCTCAATTATGTCCAGTTACTAAGTAATCCTGTTTCTCCTTTTGGTATACACAATGGTGCTGGAGACTAGCAGCCATAAGAGCTAAATGCAATAGGCATTCTTGTAATGAATAGAGCAGGTCTTTCCTCATTTTTCTTGAAAATATAATAATTGTTCAAAGTTCTTATTTTTATTACTTCATCAAGCATTTACCAATCATTGCCATGTTCATTGGGAATACAAATATATATAAGGTACAATCTCTGCCCTCACAGAGTTTACAGTCTAGTACAGAGATTATAAGCTTACAATCCATGGACTGGACTCAAGAGGTCTATGAACCCCCAAAATTACATGCAAAGCTTTGAGGGGTATGCGCATTTTTCTGATATAAATCTCTTTTACCAGATTCTGTTCAGGAACCATGACACAAAAGATGAAAAACTACTGAGATGCAGACATTCAAGCAAAGGTCACATTCCTGATCACAGACAAATGGAGAGGGGTAGAGGGCTACTGTGTATCATCTCAATAGAGATGAGGTTAGTATCCAGTCCAGGTGGGACTGTAGAGGGGACATATTATTGTTCACAACCAGTTGGTGGATGCCTGGTCATGGCTACTGGGATAGGGAGGGAGGTCCATCAGACAGGAAGGTGCTACGTTGAAGGCCCTGCTGCAAAGGAAACTCTCTCACTGTTATGAATATTTTTCACAACTTTATCATTTGCATTATTCTCAGAACATATTTCAAGTTCTTTATGTGCCTGCTTATCCATAAGCCCAGGAATAGCCAGGGTTTTCTGGTGATTTACATAACACAAGGAAACTGCAGGTAGAGAAGGACCTATAAGAAGAGAGTTCTTGGCTCAGTCTGGCACAATTTGGCCAAAGGACTTTAGGTTAATTTTATAAATTATTTGCATATCACTTACACATTCACTTTAAGATCAGTATCCACTTAAAATGGTATTACTAGCTTCCAAAGATTGCCATTCTTTGGAGCTTTTTTCCCACTGCTGATACATATACGTATGTATGATATATATGTAATGATAAATATATATTATATACCACTATATATGTATATATATATATTCCATGCTTATGTATTATATACCACCATATATGTGTGTATATATATATATTCCATGCTTCCTGTAAAGTCTGCAGAACCATGAGCCAATTAAACCTCTTTTCTTTATGTGTGTGTGTGTGTAGATATATATAGTGGTATATAACATATATCTATCATTACAGACATCATTTTATATAATATATAATAATATATACGTATTATATATCTATCATTATACCACTATATATAGTAGTATATAATATATATCATATGATATATGTATATATGTTATATGAAACATTAATATGTATATTTCTATGTATACTACTAATAATATATTTATATATTTTCTCATTCAAGCAAGCTTTCTTATAACCAGAAGTGGAAAATGGAAAGAAAGAAGAAAACTTGGAGGAAGGCAAAGGGTGAATATTGAATCAATTGAATGGATTCAATTCAAGGTGGAATCAATTTTGTAAAACGAATTTTATCTTAGTGACACTTTAGAGAACACTGTTACTATAGAGAACAACTCAGTTTCTACAAACCAAAAGATCATAACAAAGCATTAGAATGGACTTTATTCAGGTTATTTTCAAGTTAGTTTGCTTTTATTCAAAGGCTGCTGAAATACTTATCAAGCAAGCAGACAAAGTGTGACAGCTAGAATAAGGAGAAGATTACTGTGAGTTCCTTTGCATGAAGCTATTTGGTGTTTCAGAAGAAATTACATTAAAGAAAGCATCTGATCAAACATATAATTCTGTCAGTACAACAGAAGGAATCTAAAAAATAATTTTAGCTCTTCTTAAGCAGCCAGTTTTCATGATTTCATAACCTTTGTCACACAGTCAGAAACTAACTTTATTAGAATATATTTAAGTTGTCAAACATTTGCTGAATACCTATTATTAGCAAGGTGCTGTACTAAGCTTTGTAGGGGATACAACTATGAATAAGAAGTAGTCCTTTCTTTAGAGAAGTCACAGAATGCTGAGACTGACTCATATTTATAAACAACTATAAGTCAAAACAGAAACTATTAAATACTATAATAGTAAAAAAACATCCAGAATGCTATGGAAATAGGAATGAAGACACCATGTGGACTTGTAAAGCCTGAGAAAGGTCTCAAGAAGGAGGCAGAATCTGAGCTGGGTTGCAAAGAAGGTATAGATGTTACCAGGTACAGAGACAGGGCAAAGTCATTAGAGACCCAGCATATGGCAAGAGGGTGAGAGAAGGAAATTATAAAATATGTCCTAGAAACAGCAGGGACCAGTTTGGTTAGAACAAATATCTTGAGATGGAGTAGAAGGCAGTACATCCAGAAAATTATATTAGTGTAAGAATCTCATGAGTTTGCAATAGATAATAAGAAATTTAGACTATTCCATAGGCATAGTCTATGGGAGAAGGGATTCTATTATTAAAAGTAATAGCACAAAATGATAGAAATTGGAGACACAGAGGCCACTTATGAGGTTACTACAATAGTCCAAGTAGGTAGAAATCTGGCACTGGGTGAAGATAAATGGCATGAGACTGAGCTAGCAAGAATATGTATAAAGCCAGGTATCAGCATTATTGGCAAGGTAATGGTCTCCAAAGAAAGCTAGTTAGCATCATCCTCAAAGATCTTCTTGGCACAAATCCCAATATACAAAGTAGAAAAAAAATACAAGATAGATGATCCTCTAGATGAAGAGCTCAGCAATATAGACTCCAAACCAGAGCAACCCAGTAGTGTTGCATTTAATCATGGGGTTCAGTTGGATGTACAGAGTGTTACACAAAAGTATATCTGAAACTGGAAAGCGTAAGATTAATCAGGTAGATTTTCCACTGATTATATTTGATTAGTTTATCCTTCAAGGAGAATAATTGTTTTATCAAAAAAGTTATTTAATTGAAGAGCATTTAAAGTAATACCAATTGCAGTTTGAAACTTTCTTGAACAATTACTTGTGAATTCAAGAGATTGCTATAGTGAAGGTTGATATAGTTTGGATATTTGCCCTTGCTCCAATCTCGTTGAATTGTAATCCCCAGTGTTGGAGTTGGGGTCTGGTGGGAGGTGTTTGGATCATGGGGGCTGACCTCTCATGGCTTTGGTCTGTCTTCGTGATACTGAGTTCTTAGGAGATCTAGTCATTTAAAAGCGTGTGGCACCTCCCCGTGAACTCTCACTCTCCCTTCACCTTTTGCCATAATTGTAAGCTTCCTGAGTCCTCCCTAGACATTGAGCAGATGCCCGTACCATGCTTTCTGTAAAGCCTGCAGAACTGTGGGCCAATTAAACCTCTTGTCTTTATAAATTACCCAGTCTCTGGTAATTCTTTATATCAAATGCAAGAAGAGTCTAACACAAAGGTCAAAAACTCAGGTTCAAATCCTGCCTTTCATCAGTTAACAGTGTAACCAGGAACAGCTACTTAAACTTGACAATTGTTACTTTTCTTATGTGTAAAACATTGATAATAATACCTAACTAATTTGATCATTAGGAGGATAGAAGAGACAATGTATATAGAAACACCTGGAACAAAGAAGTTTAGTCATATAGGATTGGTATTCTGACTTTGTGTTTCTTTTCTCTTTAATGCATTTGCATTGGAGTGCCCTAAGCTAGTCCTACACCCAATCCATTCAATTCTATGCTTAGGCATTGTGCAGTTTTGTCGGATTCTGAGATGGTGGCCATACGATTGTGTTTTCCAAGTGAGGGATTCTCATTACTACTCCATTCAAAGTTGACAAATTGGAAGAGGAAAAATTTAGAATATGATTTAAAATCTATTTGACCCACAGTTTTATCTACCTCTTACTGGTCTATTCTGAATATCAGGAATTTTCTGCACCAGTGGACTTGGCTGTGCATCCTGAGATCTTAAAGATGGAGAGGTGGCCTGGCATGGTGGCTCACACCTGTAATCCCAGCACTTTGAGAGGTCGAGGCAGGTGGATCACGAGGTCAGGAGATTGAGACCATCCTGGCTAACATGATGAAACCCCGTCTCTACTAAAAAATACAAAAAAATAGCGGGGCGAGGTGGTGGGCGCCTATAGTCCCAGCTACTCGGGAGGCTGAGGCAGGAGAATGGCACAAACCCGGGAGGTGGAGCTTGCAGTGAGCTGAGATCCGGCCACTGCACTCCAGCCTGGGCGACAGCGCGAGACTCAGCTCTCAAAAAAAAAAAACAAAAAAACAAAAAAAAACACAAAAAAATTAGCCAAGTGTGGTGGTGAGTGCCTGTAATCACACAAAAAAATTAGCCAAGTGTGGTGGTGAGTGCCTGTAATCCCAGCTACTCGGGAGGCTGAGGCAGGAGAATCACTTGAACCCAGGAGGCAGAGGATGCAGTGAGCAGAGATTGTACCAGTGCACTCCAGCCTGGGAGACAGCGGGAGACTCTGTCTCAAAAACAAAACAAAACAAAAAAACGATGGAGAGACCAAAGCTGCCTGGTGGGCAGTTTCTTTGAGCAGGGGTCTGCTGGCATCCACAGTGAAGAAGAGAAGTATTCCAAACAGAATGAGAGCCACCCTGGCCAGAAAGGGCAGGGACCTCACTTCTCACTTGGAAAGGCTGACTTGATTACAATAAAAAGAGAGAGAGATTGGGAAAATAAGGAGTTGACTGGCAAGTCATCAATGGTGAAGGAAAGCATGCAGCAGGTTTGAACATAATTGGATCTACCTTTTTTTCCTTCCTGAAAATAAATCAAGAATCAGAGAATTGAGATACTCAGTCATAGGTCTCTCTGTCTGTGGCTGTTGGCATTATACTAAGTATAATAAACTATTCTGCCAGATCAGCTAACCAAGGGAAGGGTTTCACACCTCGTAGATTTACTTGGATATGCATTTCAAATGTTATAATCAGACTCTCTTTGCAGCTTGCCTAACTCAGAAGAGAAGAGTGAGGACTATTACAAAAAGAAGTCATAAATGGCTATGGTTTTAGGGGTGCGTATAAATATGAGATAGAGCCAAACTCTTCATCATCTCAAAAAGCCAGCATGCCATGGAGGTTAAAAGCAAAGGTTCTAGAACTAGTCTACCTATATTCAAATTCCAATTCTATCACTAGCTACGTGACTACTGAAAAGTTGTTTAATCTCTCTGTGCCTGGGTTTCTGCATTTGTAAAACAGAGGTGATAATAATAGTATGTATATGTAATCGAGTTTGTTATGACAAACAAAAGAATTAACATGCATAAATTGCTTCATAAGTGGTAACTACTATTAAGGTAGGATGAAGAAGTATGTGTAATGAGCATCTCCAAACTTATTGTAGTATGACCCCTTCATCCCACATAGAATTTTAAGCAGAGCTTCAAGAAAGTAGTTGATACCTCTGTCTCTGAAGACAGTTGCTGAGCAAAAAGAAGGGAAAAAACAAGACTTGGAGTTGGGGGATCAGAGGTAAGAGAACCTGAATAACTGCCCTCTAGAAAATCCCAGATGGCCTTGTCACCCTCCTGTGGTTCTGTGGATGACACCAGAAATGTTGAGAAGGACAAAAGCAGGTTCAAAAAATAGACACCAGAGCTCCTTGATTCACATCACCTGCAGGGGCACTACCACAGGTGTAAGTACATGAGTAACAGAACAGCAGACTTAGAGGAATGAGCACCAATCCCAGCTCACTTGCTGTTGGTAACCACTGGATTCAAAGCAAAGCACTGTCTTTCTTGACAAGATGTTTTTGCATGGGCTTTGTCTTAACTAGATGAGCACTTGCAAAGTTGATAAAAAATAAATAAAAGGCAACTGGAAAACTAGAAGCACATTTTGTACCATAAGAAACAGAAATTGTCCACCGAGCTGCCTGTGATCCTGGCTATGGCCTGTGTGAAGAAGTGAAGCACCATATGCAACTTTGTATAGTCAAGCATTATTCTTTCATTTTCTCAACACAGTTTTGAGTTTCCACTATGCCCTTCACATACTAGGTTCTTGTATTGATTATACTTGGCTAAGAATTATGTAGCTCAGTGGTCTGCTGAGCAAAGCAAATACTACATTCTGTGAGCAAACATGAAGATGACACCTGGAGTAGCGACTTGTCTAGAATTCGAGATAAATGATCAGAATAGATGTATACGTCTATAAAATGAGAAAAATAGCAGGAGTCATCCATTCTCCCTAGGCTTCTAGGAAGAATAATTTTCATTATCATTAAAAATATTTATAAGCCCATAAATACTCACAGATAAATATTCTTAATAACTTCTCTAAAGACTTTAGATGTAGGCAGCACTTTTCCAGCCACATCTAAGACATTTTTACCCGTTAAAGTCACATGTTGAGGCCTTGTAGCCTAATTCTGGAGCCATGCTTACATTTGCTATTTAATTTAAACTAAGCTTCTTTCTATGGAGAACTATTTGTGGTTGCTAAAGTCCTGCCTACCCTTGTAGAGTTCTGTCAGTGATATCAGGGACTTTGATGTGATCAGGGTCTAAATTCAGATCACAAGGAAGCTGAATGATAACTGAAGAATGTCATCAGACTTGCTGTCCCAGCACCAAGAGAGGCAGAGAGAGAGACAGACAGGAAGAGAAAAAGAGAGAGAGGAAGGGGAGGGGAAAGAGTACGGGATGAGGAGGCCAAGAGAACAGGGGAGGAGAGAAGTACAGTTTTCATTGGTAAGTAGGGAAGGGATTGATAACTAGAAAGAAGGAAGCTGATAGGTTATTGACTAAAACCAGTAGCTCCCTACTCGAAAGCCCATATTATGCAGCATGAGCGTCCACCTTTAGTGAACTGGAGTACAATTCATCTTTCAAAGTAAAAAATGCAGCACAAACTGTAACGTATTCTAATTCAGTTTAAAAATGCACCATTTTAATCTCAAGCATTGTATTCTGTTTATTGCCATGAACAAACAGCAGGTTTTGGTCAAAGCTGGGCTACCTCAGGAAGTAGAGAATTTCCTCTCATTGAAGAGTACTGATTAGAAAGAACAGTCATCCACCAGGTTCCACAGCATGAGGTGTGAGACCACATTAGACCCCCTTGACATTTCCTCTCGACCCTGGGATCCTGCCTGTTCTACCATTAGTAGAGTTGCTTTCATTATCAGATACATGTTTTGCTTGTTTGTTTGTTTTTCAGACAGTTCTGGAGACAGTGTGGAGGATAGATTGGAGGATGGTGTGACCATTTTCTTGGAGACCAGTAAGAGACTCTTGATAATTCAGATACAAGCATAAAGGCCTAGTTTACACAATACTATAGGGATTCAGCCACCCTAAGGTTAATTCGTAGGTAGTGGAATGGATTTTCAGCTAATATTCTTCTCAGGGATGCAATGCATTTAGTAGGAAGATTTCTTCTTTTATAAAAGCAATGCTGCAAGCCCATCATCTGTGGCATATGCATTTGGGCATATCATTTTCTTGTCTGAACTCCTTGTAATATGGTTCTGCATTTACAAAGTAAGCTGGCTATGGCTGGTGGTTCAGTTTCTGGCTATAGAACAGAGCCAGGCCAAGTGCTCTTACTGAACCAATTTCTTGAATTTGTCTTTATTGGCATTATTGTTTGTGTCCTTGAGCTAAATAAATGCTTGCTGAACTAAAGGATCCTGAGAGGAGGAGATGTGAATTGGAAGCTAAACTACACACAAGAAATTCAGCTTCCATTTGCCAGTGGGGGACTCCAGGCAACTTTCTGGTCGCTTGTGTGCTTCATTATCTATTTACCAGGACAGAATATTTGCCAAGCCCTTCCTGTGCTAGAACCACGCTAGACATTCTCAGATGTCAGGTTGGCAAATAGATCAAAGATGCTGCTGATAGGTGCAGTAAAAATTCATGTAGAAATAGTACAGAGTTCTTCAGGTTCTGTTTCTAAGAAGCCAGAAAAGAGAGAAAATGAGATTGGGAATTTATTTTAATGCAACAAAAGTTTATCAAACACCTACCACAGTCAATGAGCAAGGCACCATTGATAGGGGTAAGGAGGGTGTATTAAGAAGCATTTTCCAGAGAAACAGAACCAGTAGGATATAGATAGTTAGATATAATGAGAGGGGATTTATTAAGGGAATTGGCTCCCATGATTATGGATGCTGAGAAGTCCCACAAGAGGCCATATGCAAGCTGAAGCTTCTGGAAGGCATGCCTCAGTCCAAGTCAAAAAGCCTCAGAACCAAGGAAGCCAATTGTGTAACTCTCAGTTCAAGGCCAAAGGCCCAAGTGTCCTGAAGGATACTGGTGCAAGTACCAGAATCCAAAGGCCAAAGAACCTGGAGTTCTGATGTCCAAGGGCTGGAGGACAAGGGTATCCTACCCCAAAAGTGAGAGAG